TCTTTCAGAAAAAGAAGGTGAACAGTTTCAATTTTTGGTGCTGGATAATGACCCCACACCTCACAACCATAATTAAGTATACATGTTACATATGTGTCAAATAGTGATATCTTAGTTTCAGTATTTAGCATATAATCCTTTATTCTATTCTTCAAAAGATATTAAGCTTTCCTTCCTTGAGATGCTAAAGTATTCTTAGCCACTGTAAACCTTCCGTTATTATTAAAGACTAATCCTAAATAACAAAACTGATCTACGACCTCTATGGTCCTTTCATTAAATTTCCAACTTTCATTAGGTAATATCCGTTTGCTTTTTCTAAAAATAACTATTTTGTTTTTTTCACTACTAACCGTTAAGCTCCATTTTTCAGTATAATCCTGCAAACAATCTAACATATTTTGATGATCGTTAATATCTTCTGAAAATAAAACTGTGTCATCAGCATACATTATAAGAAATAGATTTAATAGTTGTAATTGATAACTCTGGCAATTAGAATGAATAAGAACGCTTTCCATATCATTAAAGGGGCATCACGGTGAAGTTACTTTATTTTTTGTCTTTTTTTCAAATACTACATAAACATATCAAGTGAGACTCCTTATGGAAAATAACGATCGGATTTGGCTGAAATAGATTCATAAAAATGATAAAATCTAAGAAAATCATCGGTATTTCTAACTGTCTGACCAACGTTTTGTTCAGGGATTTCCCTCTACTAGCGCATGCGCATAGTACACTATATCTTTGTAAACAAAATGACTGACCGTTTGAAGTAAGCGAAAGAAAAGTGTTGTACCGTGTCAGCTACGAAACCAAAAGTTGCCAAATGGTCAAAAGATAGCGCAAGGAGTTCTTTACGGAATCATTATTGCAGGTGGGCAGTATTCAAAGGAGAAAATAACTGCCGTAGCAGTTAGTACGGTGCATGTATTCTTCCGGATAGCGGCCGGTTAAGCTGAAATGGAATCGACAGAAATGCTAGCGCTGTTTGTGTTATGAAAAAAATATCTAAAACTATTAAGCTCGCTGGTATCTTTGTCTGAGTTTGAACACAGATGAACTTAGTTTAATATGTTAATGGGCATGTATTGGAGAGAGTTTACTTTGTGTTTCTATAAATATACAGTGGTTTATGCGAAAGGATGGGATAAGTGACTTGTTAGTTTGATTTTTCCATGAGGCCCTCCAAGGGGAAAACTGTTGTGATGTCCCTTGGTGTAGGGAAGGTGTTTAGCCCCGTACCATCTGTACCGGCCTCATTCCGGTACTAAATTCAATATATATTTAAATATATCTACTTGATGTTTTTGCCTATTATCTTGTTGACATTTAATTGTAAATGTATGACGGGAGAAGGCTGTGATAAATTGTTAAAACTTGTGCCCCATCCCTTGTTAAATTGTATTGGCAACAGATTTATGTTTAAAGCTAAATAAATTTAAATTCTGAATATTGGCAAGTGTGCAATTAACTTCAATGATGAATAATTACTGTTCAATAAGTTTGAGANGTTTAAAGCTAAATAAATTTAAATTCTGAATATTGGCAAGTGTGCAATTAACTTCAATGATGAATAATTAATGTTCAATAAGTTTGAGTACCGACTTAGAAATCTTATAACTTGGTTTCATAGTGCGGTAAGAAGTTGCAGTTGCCTGACGGCCCCTCTCAGGGGGCCCCTTTGGAAACCGTTTCATCTCGCTCGCACCACTTGTGTTTACTGCCTAGCCAGGTGACGTTATCGGCGCTATTTTTAGCAGGGCTTTTCCGAACAATTCAAGTGGTCAAACTGGACATTTGAAACGGACTATGAATATGGGGATAGCGAGGTAACATAAGTGGAAGTGCATACAATACATACATTCATTAAAAAAAAACGCCTTTTCACGTGATGTCCCTTTAACAAATAAAGAAAACAACATGAGCGATAAAGCCTCCCCTTGTAAAAGTCCTACATGTATATCGAACATAGCAGAAAATTTCCCGCTTAATTTATACTCGCTTTCGCTCTCTGCACCCCTGGAATATGTCATAGCAAAATTGAAGGCACGAAGATAGCTGTTTGATTGGTCTCAGGTAAAAAAAACCTGACCAATCGCTAGGATGATACCTGTTCTTTGAAGATTACAAAGGAGAGACGCCCGACGTTACGTGACCGCGAGATTCTTTTGATGTATATCAAAGGATCGAACTAGTTTTCTTGTCTCATCAACAAGGTGGCGCACACTGAGCCTTCAATTTTGCTTTGACATATTCCAGGGGTGTGGAGATCGAAAGTGAGCGTAACTCCTGGATATCGAGGATGGCTAATTCCACGACCAGACATCTAATTTTGATAGAATAGTATCAGTTTGGGGGAATGCGAATGCTTAGCTTCCAAAAAGAAGACACAAGAAGTTTTTTCTTGAAGTCGCACGGACCCTAGTGATTGATGCTGTTTATAGAACTAGCTATAACAATAGCCAAATCGGATTGTGTAGCTACCTCTGTTCTCAATATGTTTTATACTGTTGGTAAGTGAATTCCAGAGATTCAGCACCTTTCATACATTAAGGGACACAGAAACCAAACTGTCTACATCTTGATACATTTCTTATAAAACATTGCTTTATAGATTTAGGGCATCTTCCACAAAAATATATTTAAAACATTATTAAGCTGTACGACTTTTGGATCTTTTAAAAAATAACTTTGGATCTTTTGAAAAATAACTTTCTGTGATAAAAGTATTAATAAACCTCACAGCCTTAACTAAATTTTTAGTATTTGTAGTTTTCTTACAAATGAAACCCACCTTCAGTTAAAAAAGGTTTTCATGAAGAGACCTATATCATGCAAAAGTTTCGGATCATTAGATGATAATATATTTTGTAAGTTATTTGAATTCTTTCCAAAAACAATAAACAATTGACCCATCAGAGAGAAATCTCTCCTATGCATTACACAGGATCTGGCCATAATTGGTATTAAGCTAGAAGTTCTGTAATTTTGTTCTAGGACCAAACAGATTACATCCAGATTCCCCCCACATGCCAAAGCAAGGTATTGTCTAACAAGTATGAATGTAGGCAAGTTTCAATAAGAGTTGACTCCCTTTAGTGGTACCGTTCATTGACGATGTGTATAGATGGGATGTTGCTCATGCGCATGCTTTATGAGTTGTACTTTGCTGACAATGAAAGGATTCCCCTGTCCGATAACTTATCAGAAATGATATTCAGATTTAAACCTCAAAACGATTTTGCAGTATCAATAACATATAGCAAACCTTTACAGATTTAAAGCTAATTCTCATATTCTTTTTTTGTATACAATGGTCCCAATAATCTCCCCTGAGGGAACCTGCATGTAATCTACACAATAAGAGGCCCAGAGGGCTCACCTGGAGATGTTAGCAAATTTGAAGATGAAACAGCCAGATGTTGCTGTACATGTATTACATGGGTAGTCAGGGGTTATATTTATATGCAATTGGACAAAACCCTGTCATTCCTACAGAAAAAGGAGGATTTTGAAGAATTTGCTATGTTTTTATTATTGGGCCACGCCCCTCTGCCCCCAGGGTGGTCAGACCCACCATTGATACAAAATTAGTTCCCCTTAACCCAAGGATGCTTAAGATCAAATTTGGACAAAATCCTGTCATTCCTACAGAAGGAGAAGAATTTTAAAGAATTTGCTAAATTACCCCTATTGGAATGGACCCCTTAGGCCTGTGGGGGGTCAGACCCACCATTTATACAAAATTGATTTCCCTTCCCCATAGGATGCTTCTGTTCAAATTTATTCAAAATACCTTCATCCCAACGGAAGGAAAATGATGTTAAAAGTTATTCCTGTATATCCCTTATTGGGGCCGCCTCTCTGCCCCCAGGGGGTAAGGCCAACTGTTTATACAATGTTTCCCCATCATCAAAGGGTGCTTCATATTAAATTTGGACAANCCAGACCAATTTGGGATGAAATCCCTTTATCCCTATGGTAGAAGGATTTTATAGGTTTTACCTCTATTTCCCCTATTCCGCCCCATCCCTCTGCACCCACCATTTACACAAAATTGAGTCCCCTTGTTCAAGGATGCTCCAAACTATTTTAAGGTTAAAAACTCTTAATCCCTTCTGTAGAAGAAGGATTTTAAAGGTTTTACCTCTATTTCCCCTATTTTGCCTGACGCCCCTCTGCCCCTCTGGGGCCACACCCATCGTTTATACAAAATTAAGTCCCCTTGTCCTAAGGATGCTCCAGACAAAATTGGGATATAATCCCTTCATCCCTATGGTAGAAGATGGATTTTAAAGGTTTTACCTTTATTTCCCATATTCAGCCCTGCTCCTCTACCCTTAGGGGGGCCACACTCACTGTTTATACAAAATTGAGTCCCCTTGGCCCAAGGATTCTCCAGACTAATTAAGGATAAAATCTGTTAATCTCTACTGTAGAAGAAGGATTTTAAAAGTTTTACCTCTATTTCCCCTATTCGGCCCCTTTCCTCTATCCCCAGGGGGGCACACCCACCGTTTATCCAAATTGAGCCTCCTTGGCCTAAGGATGCTTGAGACCAAATTTAGTCAAAATCTACTTGGCCGTTCAAGACTAGTAGCGTTTGAAAGGAAAAATTGGCGGACGATGGACGCTTTGGTATGGCATAAGCTCACCATGGTCCTTCAGACCAGGTGAGCTAAAAATTGCTGAATTTAATTAATTAATATAAACAAGTTGTCTATTCCTCTGATGAGACCTACAGCTGTAAGCCATGGTCTAGACCTACTAAAATTACTTGATATTTTTACTTGAGTATTGGTCCAATATCAACAAAAGCCTTTTTGAGATGCCTGAAATATTTCACACCTACTGTACAAACATTTTATAAAATATCTAGGTTTCAAGGTTACTATATATTTCTCTCTGTTGTGTAATCAATCCTTGAAGTGTGTGTGTGAGGCTAACCGAGTAGGAATAACAAACAAACAAAGTATTTAAGTAATAACCTTTTATTACATTCTTTGGAAATCCTGTAAATAAATATGCATTACCAAACAACTATTTGTGTGTGGCGTATATAACATGTACATATATTGAATCTATGACACATATCAATACGTGATCTACATATAATTTACATGCAATTTAATGACATGTGCCATTAATGACATGTACTCTCTGACATGTACCAAAATTTATCAGGTAATCTTTGAGGTTGTCTGAAAAACTATGTCAGGCTTGTTTGCCGAGATATAAAACCCTGAATTTCTCTTTGAATTCAATACTCCAGTGATGTTTCCAACACTTGTTCTATAAAACGACACATGCTTGGTCCTGTCCTGACATCTTGTTAGATAACTAGACAGTAGTAAGATTGAAGCACATGTATGTACGTTTATTTTCACATAAAAGTTGGAAGTATTATGATATTTCATGCAAGAACCATATCACTTATCCAATTATCTTCATATCATGCTGGACAAGGTGTTATCTTGAATTGTTTTTACCTACAGACATATCTTGGTCTCCTTTATCACAGTCTCTGTAACAATTATCTTGTATCTGATTGGTTGAAAAATTGTGAAATTTAGTCTCAATGGCAAGAATAAGATCTGGTAACATTGCATCCAATAAGGGCATTCCCTTTCTTGTGGTCCTCAGGCCTCTATAATAACAAAAGAGGGAATACAAAATTCCAGTTGTGCCAATAAATATTGAAATATTATGACATATCACATATACATTAGTTATTTACAAGTGCTTAATGCATTTAATCACAAGATCAGGAACAGTATTTTCCCTGATACAATTGTTCACATGACTTGGTGTGATGAACTAGACATCTTAACTGTGGTCATCAAACTTCAATTGTCTGGCAATGAGTTATGACCGGAACATCCCAATATCTTGCTCTCCAACCATCCTGAACTGATAAACTACTGCTATTAGTTTTGAAATTGGATTATTTCTTGGTTCAGAGACAATATCTTATTCCCATGAAATCACAGACAGGGAGATCTAACAGGTCACAGTCACAACTACAAATGTAGATTTAACAGGTCACAGTCACAACTACAGGTGTATATTTAACAGGTGACAGTCACAACTACAAGTGTAGATCTTACAGGCCACATTCCCAACTACAGGCGTAGATCTAACAGGTCACAGTCACAACCACAAATGTAGATATAACAGGTCACAGTCTCAACTACAAGTGTAGATCTAACAGGTCACAATCATAACTACACGAGTAGATCTAACAGGTCACAGTCACAACTACAGGTGTAGATCTAGCAGGTCACAGTTACAACTACAGGTGTATATTTAACAGGTCACAGTCACAACTACAGGTGTATATATAACAGGTCACAGTCACAACTACAAGTGTATATTTAACAGGTCACAGTCACAACTACAAGTTTAGATCTAACAGGTCACAGTCACAACTACAAGTTTAGATCTAACAGGTCACAGTCACAACTACACGTGTAGATCTAACAGGGCACAGTCACAACTACACGTGTAGATCTTACAGGTCACAGTCACAACTACAAGTGTATATTTAACAGGTCACAGTCACAACTACAGGTGTAGATTTAACAGGTCACAGTCACAACTACAAATGTAGGTTTAACAGGTCACAGTCACAACTACAAATTTAGATTTAACAGGTCACAGTCACAACTACAGGGGTAGATCTAACAGGTCACAGTCACAACCACAAATGTAGATATAACAGGTCACAGTCACAACTACAAATTTAGATTTAACAGGTCACAGTCACAACTACAGGTGTATATATAACAGGTCACAGTCACAACTACAAGTGTATATTTAACAGGTCACAGTCACAACTACAGGTGTATATATAACAGGTCACAGTCACAACTACAAGTTTAGATCTAACAGGTCACAGTCACAACTACAGGTGTAGATTTAACAGGTCACAGTCACAACCACAAATGTAGATATAACAGGTCACAGTCACAACTACAAGTGAAGATCTAACAGGTCACAGTCACAACTACAAGTGTATATTTAACAGGTCACAGTCACAACCACAAATGTAGATATAACAGGTCACAGTCACAACTACAAGTGGAGATCTAACAGGTCACAGTCACAACTACAGGTGTAGATTTAACAGGTCACAGTCACAACTACAGGTGTAGATCTAACAGGTCACAAGACAATATCTTATTCCCATGAAATCACAGACAGGGAGATCTAACAGGTCACAGTCACACCTACAAATGTAGATTTAACAGGTCACAGTCAAAACTACAAATTTAGATCTAACAGGTCACAGTCACAACTCCAAATTTAGATTTAACAGGTCACAGTCACAACTACAGGGGTAGATCTAACAGGTCACAGTTACAACTACAGGTGTATATTTAACAGGTGACAGTCACAACTACAAGTGTAGATCTTACAGGTCATATTCCCAACTACAGGCGTAGATCTAACAGGTCACAATCATAACTACACGTGTAGATCTAACAGGTCACAGTCACAACTACACGTGTAGATCTTACAGGTCACAGTCACAACTACAAGTGTAGATCTAACAGGTCACAGTCCCAACTACAGGCGTAGATCTAACAGGTCACACTCATAACTACACGTGTAGATCTAACAGGCCACAGTCACAACTACAAGTTTAGATCTAACAGGTCACAGTCACATCTACAAGTGCAGATCTGACAGGTCACAGTCACAACTCCAAGTGTACCTCTAACAGGTCCCCCCTACAACTACAAGTGTAGATTTAACAGGTCACACTCACAACTACAAGTGTAGATATAACAGGTCACAGTCACAACTACACGTGTAGATCTAACAGGTCACACTCACAACTACAAGTGTAGATCTAACAGGTCACAGTCACAACCACAAGTGTAGATCTAACAGGTCACAGTCACAACTACACGTGTAGATCTAACAGGTCACAGTCACAACTACAAGGGTAGATCTAACAGGTCACAGTCACAACCACAAGTGTAGGTCTAACAGGTCACAGTCACAACTACATGTGCAGATCTAACAGGTCACAGTCACAACCACAAATGTAGATATAACAGGTCACAGTCACAACTACAAGGGTAGATCTAACAGGTCACAGTCACAGCTACGAGGGTAGATTAAACAGGTCACAGTCACAACTACAGGTGTAGATCTAACAGGTCACAGTCATAACTACACGTGTATATCTAACAGGTCACAGTCACAACTACATGTGCAGATCTAACAGGTCACAGTCACAACCCCAAGTGTAGATCTAACAGGTCACAGGCACAACTACACGTGTAGATCTAACAGGTCACAATCACAACTACACGTGTAGATCTAACAGGTCACAGTCATAACTACACGTGTAGATCTAACAGGTCACAGTCATAACTACACGTGTAGATCTAACAGGTCACACTCACAACTACACGTGTAGATCTAACAGGTCACACTCACAACTACAAGTGTAGATATAACAGGTCACAGTCACAACTACAAGTGTAGAACTAACAGGTCACAGTCACAACTACATGTGCAGATCTAACAGGTCACAGTCACAACCCCAAGTGTAGATCTAACAGGTCACAGGCACAACTACACGTGTAGATCTAACAGGTCACAGTCATAACTACACGTGTAGATCTAACAGGTCACAGTCACAACTACAAGTGTAGATCTAACAGGTCACACTCACAAGTTTAAGTGAATTCATTAATCAACTGACATGTGTAACGAAAAAAAATGTAAACAAAAATTCAACCTTGATTGTTGTTTTCTTTGTATATATTAAAAATTCTTTCATGAATTTCAATGGTGGAGAAAACGGATATGACTCACTTTACCAAGTATTCCAGGAAACAAAACTATAGATATTGTACACTTCAAACAAATAGCCGATAGTCTGTAATCCTGTCGCGGGTGTGGCTGATGTATTCTTGGAAATAACTGTTGGACCTGTGTGACTGAATGTAAGATATATGAACATATCTTCATATAAAGTATCTAGACAAGAGAACCCATGTATTATAACACACACTACTGTGTATTACCTTGTATTTCAGATTACAAGTCTGAACAAGAACTGTGCATGACCTGCATACCAGACAATAAGTCTGAAAAAGAACTGTGTATAACCTGTATCCCAGACAAACAGTCTGAACCAGTACTGTATATGACCTGTATACCAGACTATGAATCTGAACCAGTACTGTATATGACCTGTATGCCAGACTATGAATCTGAACCAGTACTGTATCTGAACCAGTACTGTGTATAAACTGTATACCAGACAATAAGTCTGAACCAGAACTGTGTATAACCTGCATACCAGACAATAAGTCTGAACAAGAACTGTGTATAACCTGTATACCAGGCAATAAGTATGAACCAGTACTGTATATGACCTGTATACCAGACTATGAATCTGAACCAATCCTGTATATGACCTGTATGCCAGTCTATGAATCTGAATGAGTACTGTGTATAACCTGTATACCAGACAATAAGACTGAACCAGAACTGTGTATAACCTGTATACCAGACAATAAGTCTGAACCAGTACTGTATATGACCTGTATGCCAGTCTATGAATCTGAATGAGTACTGTGTATAACCTGTATACCATACAATAAGACTGAACCAGAACTGTGTATATCCTGTATACCAGACAATAAGTCTAAACCAGTACTGTATCTGAACCAGTACTGTGTATAACCTGTACACCAGACAATAAGTCTGAACAAGAACTGTGTATAACCTGTATACCAGACAATAAGTCTGAACCAGTACTGTATATGACCTGTAAACCAGATTATGAATCTGAACCAGAACTGTGTATAACCTGTATACCAGACAATAAGTCTGAACCAGTACTGTATATGACCTGTATACCAGACTATGAATCTGAACCAGAACTGTGTATAACCTGTATACCAGACAATAAGTCTAAACCAGTACTGTATCTGAACCAGTACTGTGTAGTAAAACCTGTATACCAGACAATAAGTCTGAACAAGAACTGTGTATATCCTGTATACCAGACAAAAAGTCTGAACCAGTACTGTATATGACCTGTATACCAGACTATGAATCTGAACCAGTACTGTATATGACCTGTATGCCAGTCTATGAATCTGAACCAGTACTGTGTATAACCTGTATACCAGACAATACGTCTGAACCAGTACTGTGTTTAACCTGTATACCAGACAATAAGTCTGAACCAGTATTGTATATGACCTGTAAACCAGACAATAACTCTGAACCAGTACTTGAATAACCTGTATACCAGACAATAAGTCTGAAGCAGTACTTCAATAAATGTATATGACCTGTATACCAGATTATGAATCTGAAACAGTACTGTATATGACCTGTATAACAGACAATAAGTCTGAAACAGTACTGTGTATGACCTGTATGCAAGACAATACGTCTGAACCAGTACTGTATATGACCTGTAAACCAGATTATGAATCTGAACCAGAACTGTGTATAACCTGTATACCAGACAATAAGTCTAAACCAGTACTGTATCTGAACCAGTACTGTGTATAACCTGTATACCATACAATAAGTCTGAACCAGAACTGTGTATCACCCATATACCATGCAATAAGTCTGAACCAGTTCTGTATATGACCTGTATACCAA